TGCAAAATTGTATACCCTGATCTTCCGAATCAGCAAAATTTCGTCTCAACTAGCCCGATCATCTTCAATTACCTCCTCTTCTAAACTGTCAGCATTGACTTCTGCCAAGAATAGACGACGATCCATAGCGTTGTGCAATGAATGGATGCTATAAAAAACTCGATGAAGCACAACTGCGTCAAACTGAGTCAACATGTAGGAGTATTCGCTATCTCACCGATAATATTTGCTTGGCTGTTTTCTCGTTCGGCTGTGTTCTTCACCAGCACTGTGCTAGGAAGTCGGAGAAGAAGATAGACCAGCATGCCGGATTGTCAAACGTTGGTGGCGTAGACTTTTGCACTTTGAATAGACCTCCATAAGTGAGACCTAAAGCAAATATACGAGGACGGCGAGATAACAAAGTGCAAAGAACAAAATTATCCTTCTATCATTGCGTCAATATCCTTAACACATTGACGACTTTTGTCCTTCTAGAACTGCGCACAATGTTTCGAGATCCCAGAGTGTCAAAGAACTCAAATAGTACAAATAGTCAAATAGGTACAATGGCTGACATTTCGGCGAGTTTTGCCTTCTTCGAAGCAGTTTAGTTGCTTTTCAACCTTTTCAATACCATGGACCTACCCCCTCCAAATCTCTAACCGTCGGCGTGGCAAGGCTGGAAGGTCTGCTCAAATCCTCTGCATCTCTAACCCACAGCGTGGCGACGCATTGAATGTATTATTGTACTAACTCAATTGTATTTTTTTGTTTTATTTTCCTATCTGTAACAACATGGATATGTCAACATATAACACAACATTGCAAAATATCAGCCAATACGATTGAAATGATATAATATTACATTAATGCGCTCCCAGGCTGTGGATGACAGATGCTGAGGGCTTGGGTACACGGTCTCGATTGGTTGAGTCTTCCAGATATTCGTTGGAATCAGCCGCTCAGAGTATGCATAGGTAAGAAAAACATCTTTACTATACTATTATTGTTCTGCATTATTGCTGTATACAAGAGATGCTATCATTAATTATCCGGAGCTGCCTAATCAAGAAAGACCCGGGCTCTCCAAACATATGCCAATGTTGTTAGACAGTCGGCCCTGGCGCTCCGCTTTTGCAAATCACTCAACATTTAACTGGACAACAGCCCCGAGGTAGAAAGCGGAAGACACGAATCTCGGCTTCTGAGATTTACTACTGCTTCGTAGTGTACTGACTATACTTGACCTCCCTGATGACCGTGAAAAATCCCAACGCGATTGCATCCACGGAGTACGTCTTTACAACATGTTGGCAGTGTCGATAGACACTGCATTGAGATAAAGGCACGCTAAGCGTATAAGATATGCAGCTTCTGAAAATTCAAAGGATAAAGAGTAAGTTAGTTTTTCGACACTGATCGATTTCTGAAAAATTACGCCATGCATCGACTTCGTCAGACATCTTCCTAGTAGAGATTGATGCAATCGGGCCGTTACAATGCCTCGCCGTGGCCTACCAATGCATCAAATCAGTGCTGCTATCCTCCTAGATAAGCCTGGAACCAATTCACCGACCCCGGAGAGGAATGGAGGGATTATGAGCCTGGGGAGATAGATCGACAGTCCGCTTTTTCGACCACATTGTGTATTACAAGGTGTCTTTAACCGCCGCGCAACACGCGCCCGTCTACATTTCCTATTAGAGCAAGTTAGGTTCAACTATTTGTGCATAAATATTGTCCTAAAGAATAAGGGTATCAAGAACACCAACATTTGAATTGTAGTGGCTCCATTTGGACCACTTCAGTCAGCGTTATTCCGAACGGCCACGATATCCGATTCTCGTATTCGTATGGCTGATTTTTGAACGTTTTCGCACGTCATGACTTCTGGAGCCATCCCAAACGAAAGAAAATGAATGGGTGTTAGAAAGCGAAGTAACACATCTGCGATATGAGAGATAACAACAGCACAGAAGCTATCAAAGATAACAGGTGAAGGATAAGGCTCTGACGCGCTGACCAATCCCTGGAGCATGCATCATTTAACCGACTTCAGAAAGCATTGCTTGAGGTGATAGAATATATTTGGCCTTTACAATAGCTCCTTCTGGCCTAACCGATGTAAATTCACTGCTGTTTATGCTCCCAAGCACAAGTCTGATACCGATTAACCGACCCCGGAGGGAACGAAGGCTTAGTGAAGCCTTGAGTGCAAGGATCGAAACCATCAACACATCGGAACACGTGTCGTGTATCGCAAACACATCTAACCATTGCGCCACACGCGCTCCAAAGAGCTGTCTCGTCGAGAACATCTAATCTCATTCGACAAATTAAACTAATCGTGGCATCGACGGCATAACATCACAAACATACCAAACGGTGTTCCAATGAATGTGTCCCTCTTCTCGTTGCGATCCTTCAGTTGCGCCGATACAGCAAAATCAGCTGAAATATTGAATTAAAAGCACTTATTTACTTATTCAAAGTTGCTCTATTCCGACTAAAAAAATCTTCGATAACCTAATTTCACAACTCCATCGCTTGTCAGGAGGATATTTCCAGCTTTCAAATCGCGATGGATTACATTTTCCTTGTGAAGAAGTGTACCTGAACACATATCGAATTAGAGTACAACTAATACAAAACATAAAAAATTTTCAAAGAAAAAAGAATTAAAAAGACCTTCCAACGTAAGCAATTTGCTTCTCAGAGAGTGGCTTCTCAAGTTCAATCATAATCGCATCAACGGATTCGTCACCGCCAGAGCTCCATCATCATCTAAAATAGAGACAACCGACATTGAAATGACTAGGTAGCCTAAAATTTTTGCAAGCACAAGTAAGACATGAGGCGTGCGACGTGGTAATCAGTGCTCTGTGACGCAATGCGTGGCCGACCATCCAATGGTTCGACTTCGCGCCTAAGGCTAACCGAGCTCATCGCTCCGGGGTCATCAAATTGGTATTAGGCTTGTCTGGGAGGATAGCATAACTGGCCTGATACATCGGAAGGCCACCGTGAGTTTATTGTAAAGACCAGATGTGCAAGCAATCACCTCAAACAATGTTTGACGAAGACGAATGCATGGGAAATCTCTCAGGGACTTGATCAACGCCGGAGAGTTTCATATTTTTTTTGCCAAAGAAGCATATGGAAACGTTTGCTCATAAATCCCTCTACAGCTTAATAAGAAAAAAATATGCCATAACTGAACAAAACAGAAGCTGGACTATAAAAAAGATGAAGGACTATGTGTTGATTAATCCATGAGCGAGTAAAGCGCCAATATAATCGCCTTCGTCTAACATCATTTGAAGGAAATTAAATGGCATATCTGTCCTTTATAATGACTTGCCATAGCCTGCCGATGTATCAAATTAGTGTCGCTATCCTCTAAGGAAGGCTGGTACCGATTCGCTAACCCCAAAATGATGGAAGACTTGTCGAGCCGTGGGACGGGATCGAACCATTGGCCACCTTGCGTCGCAGAGTACTTCTAACCAGTGTGGCGCAGGCGACCTTTTGAACTAAGAAGAAAACAGACGTAAAATAGGACTTACGTGCAGTTTATTTTCGAAAGAAAAAACAAGCATAAAGCTTGACGATGTTTCTGTGCTTACAAGAAGTCAGAATATCGATCTCTACCAGGAAATCCTCAAGCTGCTCGCCTTCCTGAACCTCTATTGCCTAAACAAAAACATCTCTGAAAGGAGACTAACAACGTAATCATCTGCACAACAACGATACTTAAGTAATAGTTACCTTAGCAGCAGCAAATAAAGTTCGATCTGTCTTAGAAACTGCCTTTTCAACCTTACCAAAAGCACCATCACCTAACTCGCCGACGATCTCCCAAAAATCTTTTTGATTGACGTTCACCTTGAAAGAATCAAATACAGTTATAAAAGCAAAAGGATTACAGAAACCAACGAGAAAGAGAAGTCCCGTGACTATCAATGGTGATTACCTCGATTATAGACGGAAGTGAACGTCTTGATTCCTCGACGGTCGAGGTCCGAAAGAGGTTTTTCATCTTTCCGAAAAACAACATACCGGACGCCTTCAACCGACGACCGGCCTTCTAAACAACATATAACTATTTTTAATTGGCTTATTACCGACATTTACTTCGAAAGGCGATTACTGAAACGATCTTCTAAATTTTTTTTTGATCAGCTTTATCCAACTGGCTAAATAAAGGCTACTCAATGAGTAAACAATCTTAGAATAAACACATTTTATGGTATATGTCCGAGAGCACCGACTGAGTGGTACACAAAAAAAGTCGACCTCTGGCGGAAGTTGAACCCGCGTCTCACACTTACCAACAGCCCGTGCTGCCACTACACAATCAAGGCCACTGCTTTGCGACCATTCGTTCTTTGACATGAACTATCGCAGCTACAGAGGCAACCAATCTTTGATGGGTTTGCTCCGATATGCATATGCTGGCACTAAATACAGTTGGTCAGATTGAAACGCGGGTTCAATCCCATCTGAGGTCGATTTTTTGTGTACTACTCAATCTTCCTAGATGACTATTATTGACTTTGAGAATTGATATTTCTAAGCGACATTGTTGCTATCGAAACGGTAGAGGAGGAGTTGATGGAGAAGCCAAAGTGAAAAGAGGGTGAGAAACTCGATTTTTCTCCGTCTTCTTCGGAAAACGCTACCTTTTTCCGGGGCTGAAACTCCAGCTATGATAGATTGAAGGCTTAAATACTTTCCAGATAGCCACGAAAAAACCCAGTAAAGATGACGATAGCTATTCATATTTTCTTCGACAACTGGAGATTCCAAGCGATATCGCCGCTATCTGGCCGGTGAGTGACGAAGTTAAGGCGGATGTTTACTAGTAATCTTAAGCAGATATTCTTTAAACTCCTCTCCAACAAAATCTAAGGCTATTTAGGCATCTCCGAGCAATACTTTACTGCATTAACTGCTCTTTTCGCAGTGGTTATGATGTGTCAAATGCACCCAAGAGAACTGAGTGGTGTGCAAAAAATTCGAACTCAGGCGGGAGTTCAACCCGCGTTTCACTCACACCAGGAGCGCGTCTTACCACTACACCACCAAGGTGCCGTTCACCCCTGGTAAGGGCGGAACGCGGTTAGAACTCTGCCTAAAGTCGAACTTTGCCTACTCAATTCTCTTAGGTGTGCTGAAGAAATCACTCACTACTTTGAAGAGGCTTAGTCTTTCCCTTAGGGACGGCACGGCTCAATCCACTTCGCCAGAGGCGCGCGATTTTCCTACTTCAATGGGGATTTTTTTCCTTATTCAGTGAGATATTTTAGCTTCTTTGTTCCCCTCTGATACAGCAGGATTTTCACTACAAGCCTGTATGCTTTTTGAGCATTTCAAACTTTTCTGTGCAAAGACAACCCCGAATGCGAAACGTAATTTCATTTTCGCTCTCGCAGTGCGCTATGGAAATCTTTGTGGAAATCACCCAGAGCCTCGAATTCGCCGTGATCCAAGCTATCGAATCACCTCATTCGAGTCGAAAATCAGCGATTCACAGATCTCAGCCGAGCCATTGAGGCGAACCGAGTGTGAAACATAATTCGGTTTTTGCTGCTACACCCTGCTACACAGGCCTTTTTGAAAACCAAACAAGATGCCGAAATCCCCAAGATTCAAACTTTCGATTCGCTACTCAAATGCCACATAAACAACTTTGTTAAGCAAAAAAAAGACGATTGAAATTTTGAGGGTTCAAGGTGACGCTCATCGTCTACAAAGCGATAGACTTAGAGTGGCTGCACATACTTTAAGAAGCATAAGAATCTCCTATATCGATCGTAAAGCCCTCAATCGATGATCTACGAATCAATTCAAAAAATCCCATGTGAATTAAAATTTGAAATCTAATTACGGCCTGATCCTCACGAGTGCAGCCATATGTGATGAAGAAAAACAATTGAAAAACACCACTGTTAAGGGCTATTTATACAGATTAAAAAGGTAAACAATCCGGTTGTTTACATAAACAACTCAGAGATAGTAAACAATCAATACCGACCAGATAATAGATCAAAACTACTCATTCTTGAGTGGACGAATCATGGTTCCAAGTCGCGCTCTATGGCTAAATGCGGCGAGACCCAATGCCTTCCTGCGAGCGGTTGCAGAGCGGTGAAGGCGCGTAATACAAACCGTAAATAGATGTAATTTTAGTCGGCTGAGGTACATCGTCTATGTCAGTTTCTGTCCAGGAGATTTTAGCATTTCTTTCTTTTTTTTGTTAAGTACTAAGTCAGTACCAATTCCCTGATAGGACTGTTTCCTTGTCTCTAGTCATTTGATGGTTATTGATCGATCAGAATTCGTGCACATCATCTCGAAGGATTTTCTTTGGTCGAATTTGTTGGCAGCATATCATTAGTAATTAGTCCTTGGTCGATTCTTGCGGCTCACTGGTCAGAGGTGCTCTGCATCGCCCACAAGGTCGATGGTTCGATCTCACGCGCATAACTCACCAAGCTATCCATCCCTTTGGCGTTGGTAGATTGGAATCAGACTGGTCTCAGACTTACTTGTCTGGGAGGATAAGCAGCACTGGCTCGACCCAGCGGGACGCCACCGCGAGTCAATGTAGAAGCCAGAATGCATTCAATCACCTCAAACGAAGCTAACAATTGAATGAGAATGCATGGCGCAATCCCTCAGAGGACTGGTCAAGACCGAGAGCTCAATCCTTCATCCTTCTTGGCTTATTACGGTAGATTCCCTGACGAATTCGTAAGTATCCCATAGCCCTGCGATTCATGCTTATTGGATGGCATCAATTTTGATTAGAAAAATCATTAGGAAATAAAGGATTTCATGTAAAATAAGTAATATCTCTATTGTAACTTCAGGAGCTGATACCCGGTGTGAACGCATCCGACTGGGTGCTTTACAAATGTGTGAAGATGCAGGTGAGGGTACGTGCCCGTTATGGGACGACAAATGAAAAATCGATTTCATTCGCTTAAGAGACAATTCCATAGGATTGTTAGTAATCATTCGAAAGCTTAAATTTCTGGCTACAGCCCCATGTGGCTGCTTTTTCGAAACACCCTTCTATAACGCTGTAAAATCCGAAATAAATCTAGCCTCAGACACGCATGTTTCTCGTTGAGCAGAGCTCTTTCTTTGGACTATTAGCAATCATTCTATAGAATAATCGTTGCTAATTCCAACGCTGTGCTTATATTCTTAGAAAACCGTTTCTCTGCGACGCATCTGCTAAAAAAGTTGGATTCGCATGTACGATCAAAGTGTCTTTGGCGAATTCACGTGCATCTGGATAGGGCGGCCACCTGTGCCGACGCAGTGATCGATCGATTTTGGACCGGTCTTATCAGTAGCATGTGGATTTTCCGAAGACACCGTGGTCACTAATGCCAATTCAACTTATTTTACCTGCTGCATTGCAGAGAGACGGTTTTTTCCAGAATATAAGCCAGCGTTGAAATCAGTAACGATTACGTTATCGAATGATTATTGATGGTCCAGAGAAAGAGCCCTTTCCGACGAGAAATATGCTCGTCTGGGGCTAATTTAATTTTGATATTTTACAGCATTATAAAAGGGTCTTTTAGAAAGCCAGCCATGTGGGACCGTGGCCAGCAATCTAAACTTTCCAGTGGTTACTAACACTCCTATGAAAAGGTCTTCTCCAACGAGTGAGATCGGTGTGGGCTCATAATGGACAGGAACTCAAGTGAGTTCTATATCCCAATTCATCGTTTTCCTAGAATTTTACAACGAGCAGATGTGGGGCAATGGTTATAAGTGCTGTGCGACGCACAGGTGCTCAGTCAGTCTATCGATGGTTGGCGGTTCTATCCAACGCTCAAGACTCACTAGGGTTTCCATCATCTCAGCGACTGTGAATTTGAACCAGACTGATCCAAAAGGGTAGCAAGACCCATCTGATACATCGCTAACTCACGGCGAGTCATTGTAAGGGCCAGATATGTCTCCAATAACCCTCAAACGATGCCTGATGAAGTCGAGTGTGAGACGCATTCCTAGGGAATTGACCAACTTCGAGAGCTTTATTCTTGATTTATCCAAACATCCATTGAACACAAAAAAGGCTACGTTGGTAATATTTACTGGTATTGGAAAAGGGATTATTAACGGCGTTTATCCCTTGCGTCAGTCACTTTTCTTGAAAATATCGTTCTTCCAGAGAATAAGAGACTCGGATATTGTCCTTCATGATTCATTTGCTTCCTCAAACCTCCCATCTGTTCTTCCAGATAGTCGAGACAGTGTGTAGTCGAAAGATGGGCAGAGAAGGTCTGATGGTAAACTCTAATTTTACTTGCAAATGGATTCAGTTATTGCGAATTTTTGTCTTGTTTCGTCTTTTCATATCTGTTGGTGCTAAAGCACTAAACACCAAGTTTTGGAACCAGAAGTGATCAAAACTGCATGGTTTTGATATCGTTTGCTTGCGCATTCCCCTGTGAATATTTTGCTCTACAGCTTGCCTATGATTGCTTCAAGATGAGGCTGTCGTGGGAACAAATTCGTCCGCTAGTCATGCACGAATGGTGCGAACGAGCAAGTGCTAGTGAAGCGACGCGCTGTATCAGTGAAGCTTAGGACGATGAAACGGTTGCAGAAATGACGGCTAGGAGCTCCATCAACCGGATGACTTCCTCGGACCCACGCCAGACCTGTCTGCTGGCGTGGGTCCACGGATGTCCGCCGGTTAATCTTGCACGCCACTTCACGAGGATCTTCTCCATGCGCTATTCATGCATGAGTACGAAGCTAATTTGTTCTCAAGACAGCTCCATTTTCAAGCAAGTATAGGCAAATTGTTTGCCAAAATGTTTACAAGAAAATGCTCATTTGAAGTGAGTCAAAATCATGCAGTTTCAAGTAATTCTGGCCCATAAATTTGATGTTTATTTCTCTAGTGTAATAATTGTCGAACGACTGAATGTAGGTGTGTGTCATGTATATGACAGCATGTGGTTTGAGAAATATGCTATCTGTATTTTCGGATAGATTGCTGTTCAGAGTGAACCTTATAGTTTGAAAGATAAAGGATAAACCTCTCGACGTTGATCAATCTCACACGTATGGCCATGCATTCTACTCCATTCCTAGCTGCATAGGATCATGGGATGCCCATCTGGCCTTTACAGTGACTTGCAGTACGGCTTACCGATGTATCAACTCAGTGTTGCTACTCTCCCAGATAAGTTTGGTACATGTGCGTCGCATTGCACCCTTGCCCACTGCGCCACACACGCCTTTGTGGCTTCACTCACCATAGATTGTAGCACAGCTGTTCTTGGATCTCAAACTGTACAGCGTTTTATAGGAGCGTTTTTTTTTTCAGTAAAGAGACGAATGAGAAACCTTTTGTATCCCATCAATTTCAGAAAGAGAATAGACGAGTTTCGAAAGCAATCTGTGGAAAACTGAGCCCGCCCTGTGAGAGGCTAGTGATTACCCGATCTTTACAACCAGTAATGTTGAATAGTTTGCAGAAATCTGACCTTGGTGGGAGCTGAACTTGAGTCTCACCCTGCACGGTAGCGCATGCTAACCACTATGCTACCCATCTTACCCTTGCTGTTTTGAAGCTGTTGTATACTATGGAGGTAGGGATGAGCGTAGTGAAGGAATGGTCGAGGTTTTGATTTTTGTATGCTTGCTGTAGTGAAAGCAATCAGAGCAGCTTCAAATCGGTCATGTTTAATCTTCCCTGCTTCTTTTTGACTCGTATGTAATATTGGTTTAGATAATTACACTCTGCTGAGTGTTATTTCGTTGTGAGCTCTCAACTGACTGTAAAAGATGTGTGTAGGTATGGCTTTTTCTTTGAGAAACAAAACTTTGACTTTGGCTGGGCGTTGAACCCGCGTCTTGCCCTTTCGGTTGGCGTGCGCTAACCATCGTGCTACCGTGGCCCTGTTCCTATCACTTATGTGTTGTGTAGACATATATCTCAGATACTCAGTAAGAATGCTTAGTTTTAACCCCTTTCTGGACCGTGGACCCACCTACTACACATCTCTAACCACAATCGTGGGAAGGCATTGAATGAATTGTTGTATTATTT